TCTAGTACTGACAGCAACGTACGAGACGTTCTGGCTGTCTCGGGCGGCGCTGGCACCCGAGTTTGGAACGCTGATCAGAGCCTTCGAGGACGCAGATCGCAAGGAGAGGGGTCTGCCCGAGTTGCGTCGGAACGTCCGGAAAGAGAGCACTTGCGGATATCCGAAAGCGTCTACCTTCGCTGGATTGAGTGCGTTCTCAAGTGTGGCCTCGTATCTGGCCGGATCTTTGTCGTGGAGCACAGCAAGATCCTCGTCAAATGGGTCCTTGGGGCTGTCGACCTCCGCGTGGAGATTTGCCGGGCTGACCTCGGAGCCAGAACATTTCAGGACGCTTCTCCGGCCTCTCGAGGAACGCGTAGAAGCCCCACGTCTCGATGCAAAGACTCGTGAAGGACAGACGAGCATGAGAGGCCCGCATCTTGAGCTTGCGACGGTTATACTGAGCAGCGGTTGTCTCGAGAGGGACATGGAACGCCGGTGGGTCATTCAGAACCGCCAGTGTGCCCGATGGATGTCTTGATTCTCGGCAGGGTCATACCAAAAGGGTCGACCCGACCAGGGGTACGCCAGACGCCAAGGGGCCTTACCAGCTTCCTCGGCCTTGTGAAGGACGATAGCAATCGCGGTGCGCACGACCCGAGGAGCGTTAGGATTCACTTCCAGTAGCTTGGCGTAGTCAAAGGAAGGGAGCGTCAACTCCTGGGCAGCGCGTGGTTTCTTGGCAGACGACTTAGTGCCAGTGTCGCCGGTGCTGGCTTTCCGTTTGGCGGGCTTCTTAGAAGACTTCGCGGGTTTCTTGCCCGAGGACTTATTGGATAGCAAGTTCGAAGACGCGGGACCTGGAACGCTGGGCGAAGCTGACTGAGTCATGACCGGGGGTGCTGCGCTTGGAACGCCGGGCGCGGCCGGCAGGATCACGATCGGGCCTTGGAGGCCGGCATTCGCCTTACCTTGGAGGACGTCTTCGACTAATTGGTCGAGATGAGGGAGGCCAGTGGACATACCGTTAACTCCGAGGAGCACGCGTATCTTGCCCCAGAATTGCCGCTTGAGAGCGTCCGCGTCGTCGGAGGAGGGACCGTGCTCTTCGCGATCAATGGCCGCTTCGAGGAAGGCGCGGAACCGTTTAAGCTCGGCGGTGGTGAACTTAGTCGTCATGGTGGTGGTGTTGATCGGGGGAAAATTGGGAACTGAAGGATCCCATGCCGATGAGGATTAGTGGCTGCTGGTAGGTACGCCAGGGGCTCGCCACCTGCGAAAGGACGTTGAAGTGAAACGCTATGAAGGGTATTGACCCCGGGCGAAGAGGCGCCGGGTGGGACATCTGTCCTGGCTGTGAACGACGGTTGGAGGTCCATTTCGGAAACTAACAAACGATGGAGAGGTGGCTAACGTGGGCTGGTGCGGCGGAGCTGAGGAAGGTGACGGGAACGACGAACCGCTGGGCCCTAGTTGGCAGTGCTATCGCGGGCATCGTAATGTGGGTAGTGACCACCCCGCTGAGGAACGTCTCGTGGGCGTTCTTAGATAGCGCCGTTGAAAGTGGGCTGGCTGTCTACTTCTTCGCTTACACCTGTGGTGATAGGTACCTGGAAGCCGCGAGGAACGCTAACACGTTGGCTCTTCCTCCGCTCGAATATGCGTGCGCCTTAGTTTCGCTGGCGTTCCTGATTCCTATCGCCGTACTGCAAGATTACGAGTCGCGATTTGGGATAACGGGAAGGCTGTGCCTAAGATGGTGCGAGGCGTTCCACCACTCTTGCTGTTTGTTCGTGCCTGACGCGGTCCAACTCCTCTGGGGATCGACTTGCAGATACGTCAGAGCGACAGCGGAAGCTATGGTAGCGATGGTCGAAAGGGCGGGTGACTTCCTGATGGGTGTCTACTTGGCGGTCTCACTACTATCGTCCCTGATGATATATTTACCACGGTTGGTGTATGAGAGCGTTGAAGGCGTGCTGGGAGGACCGATCGGCATGATTTTGGCGGTGTTCGTGGTTGACGTCTATTTCGAGGTCGCGATGGAGAGTTATTATTGGAGCGTGGCGGTTCTAGCGATGGGGTCCTATAGCCATGGGCTACATTACTACTGGGCGTGCCGCCCCAACAGGACGACAGGGCTGAGGTCCAACGCGAAGCGGGAGTGGGACGGACTCGCAGGGCGTAAGGAACGCCACGAGGAAAGGGAACGTGCTAATCTGGCACGTCTGCGTGGGGTGCAGATAGAAGGAACGCCGACGAGGACTCGAGTTGCGAGCGCGATTTCGGCTGGAACGCCGACGGAGACTCGAGCTGCGGGCGTGACTCCGGATGGAACGCCGACGGATGGCGTTCCTGACGTGGCTGCTGATAAGACCGTGCGGCCGTCGTTAGGCGGAGCGGCTCGGCGGGGACGCCGAGGGTCGGTCGGGGAGAATTGTCACGGTCTACAGCTAGCTGGGGGTCTCGCCATTCTCGCGGACTGTATTCAGAAGGTCTGCTCGCTACAAGGACCACGAGCTACATCACACGAACAGGGGTATAGGGAGCAGACGGCCGCGTTCCACGTCTAGAGTGAGACCAACAGGGAGAGAATGGAGAGGTACCTCGCAGTGGACCGCTACGTGGGGATGATCTGTGGGTTAGCAAGGAGCTTCTGGGTCGTAGGGAGACTGTAGGGAGAGGCTCAGTCGTGTTTTTCCTTCTTAAACAAGAAGCATTCGGAATATATCAAGTTACTCTAATAGTTATTGTGCTAATTCTCGTTCCTACGTCGGTCTGCTAGATACACGACCCCGACACTAAGGAGGAAGACCGCGACAAATGGCTTGACACACACAAGTATGCTGAGCATGGAACTTACTTTGTGGTTGACTTATTGTTGTGCGGCTCCTAAAATAACCAATAGCTATTTCAGAAAGCTAAAACTATCGAAACGGCTGGATCTGAATCAAAAAAGAGGGTTCTCAAATCGAACCCTCCCAACTGTGGATTTTACAGTGCAGTTGTTTCACCCAAACGAATCGAACTCGAACCGGCTATCCCACTCACGATAAACTCATCTCGTCGACGTAGGTCGGGTAGAACTGCTCCGTGCACTGAAGAAACCTGGTATTAAAAATAAATTTTTGATTGGATAATCTTCGGTCTAATATAGTATCTCTGCCGGGATCGAGTACAAGCAATTACGCCTACCTCAGACCTTGCGTTAAAGTTTCACAGGAGATTTATTCGTGCGTTTCAATTGCCTAATTGAGGTTGGAATGAAAGGGCTAGAAACATTGTAGTTTTTTTCTCACCAATATGTTTTGAAAAATGTAGACTGCCGGCAATATTTACTGCGCGCTGCACACAGGCGCCTCATCAGTTCACTCGTCAGAGTATTGCGTACTCGCGCTCGGGATGTACGCGCCATTGTATGGTTCATCGGTGCCGAAGTAGCCGTACAGATAATCTGTCGGAATCGTCCAATTAAATCTCAGCATCTTATCCAGAGACGTCTTGTCAAGAAGGGCTAGATCTCCAGAATTCTTGACATACGATGCAAGCAGCTTCATTCCACACATCTCGCTATCCGAGTCCCTCTCCACGTGCTGGGTGGGTATAACAGTACCATGGGCAGCATAGTCAAAAGCAATGAGCTCCTTGTTTTCACCATCCAATACTTCGAGCAGATACTCGGCATACTTGTGTGGCGTCTGCGGGTCTAACTTGCCACTGAGTAACAAAACACTTGCTTGGTTTGGAATTATTGCACTTTTGTTCCAGTATTCGTCACGTTCGTATATGATGGCATTTGAGGTATAATTTCCCCCTTTGAGTCCATTGCAAGCAGGAGAAGTCTCTTTAGAGAAAGCGCAATACAGCGAATTCAACCTGTAAATACCGCCACCATCCACTTCGTAAAATCCTCCATCGGAGATTCTCGTGTCCGCAAATCGTTTTCTCATAGTTTGGCTGGAATGCGCAGGTGTTTCCCACATTTCCGAGAAAATAATAAGATAATACAACAGCATTGATTTGTATGCGTCGTCTTGGGTCTTTGTAGAGGATTTAAGACTCGATGTGAGTTCAGTCAAAATTTTAACATCATCTGGTGCACACCGGTTAAACCTGTGAACAACCGGTGGAATAAGCGTTCTCATGTAAGAAAATACCAGTAGCAATCCGAAAATTCGACGGAGAGAGAACGATGGAGGCTCGCTAGTCTGATTGTGTCCCGTATCCGTTGAAATTAGTAGCTGAGCGCACGGCGAGCTGGGATTTTTGTCAACATTCCTAAATACTCGGAGCAATGTTGAAGACAACGTTTCTGACTTGAAGTACCGGCTGCATGCTTTAGTTTGATCGCACAAGTCGAGAAAAGAGTCTCCCACTTCACCGTAGTCGATGTCCCAAAACGATATGTAAGGAAATGGATCCGCCGATGCTCCTGATGTTGTGGCAATACCGTCAAGGACGTAGCCGGACACCATCGGTGTATTCAAATGCATGAGTCGTTCCACCAAGGCTGTTCCGTAACTCACACCGTATACGATAGTGTTCTCACGGTTCGTGTACTCGGAGATGAAATTGGCAACGTCGGTAGCAGCACTGGTCATGGAAAACGAAGACAGATCTCCATACTTGAACTGTAGTTCCTTTGCGCACGAAGCAACTTCTAACGGGCTCATCTGGCCACCTGACCCCGATCCCGAAGCTGCCTTATGCATGGCAGCGCAGTCGAAGCGGGTACTACGGCCAGTACCACGATGGTCCATTGTGTACACGTTCACTTTTCCTTGTAATTGATTGTACAAATCAAGCATCGTCGGTTCCACTACCCAACACACAATAAAACACGCACGATTAGTTTAAAAATGCAAGTGACACACAGATCAAACTAAAAGCCAAACGAACGTGTGGTAGACGAATACCCAGGGCCGCCCTGAACGAGCCACACATTCAATGCCTTGGTTGGATCACCAGTCTTGGCTGTGAACCGCTTCACGAAAATCTCGATTGTACCAGGGTGGCACAAAGGCGCATTGTAGATAGCGCACTCAGCATTACCAGCACTCGAGCTCCCTGCGTCGGAAAACGTCTAATCGGGACACGATTTCCAATCGGTCACCCTGGCTTCCTGGGCAGTAGTTTGTCCAAAAATTACGGCCACAGCAACCATCGCCGCGCGATAAAGCAGCATCTCGTTTTTCAGGCGACAATGTGAGCTGGTATGGCCACGGAGGAATTCTGAAAGTGGTGTTTTGATTTGGTGGAAACGAGATTCCATTTTCGTCTCTGCGAGCACGACGTAGCGATTGCGTAATTAAACTAATCTTCTGGGATATACTATAGAGCCTGTTGGCCAGATGACAAGTTCATCGGATGTGGGAGCTGAATAATGATGTGTATGTTGAACATTCGTCATTGTCCAGCAGAGAATACTTAATCAGAGTTTCAAATTTTGTCACTTGACTAAAAGGATCTCTGACGTATTTCTGTATAAAGCACATGTACATGTAACCGAAAATGGTTATCGGTGAGAATTTTAAATGGATAACGCTACACTTGATATTAGTATCTAACAGGGCCTTATGGCCGATATTGTACCACCGTCGCGGGTAAAACATTTGAAGAGATATTGGATACATTAGAATCATCGTGTTTCCAACCCGGTTTCTACAGGCTGATTACCAACAACTTGTACTTGCACGCAAACATTTTGGCAAAATCGTTTTTTTATCTTTTTGATTCAGCTATTGCGATCGCAACTTGCAAATCTTTTAGGGCCGACCGTGGATGACGTTTGCACGCTTCAAAGTAAGTTGCGAAGTGAGTTTATTGAAACAAATAGCTCCTCAGTCTGGTTACCTGCTTCTAATTGCCCCACAGGGAGCGTGCAACACGCTCCAGTTCCGCAGCAGCAACGATTGGTGCTGGCTGACGAAAGCCGCTGATGATGCGGCACACACGCAGTCGTATACGAAGTCCAATTTTTATGCGGTCCTCCAGCATTCAGGAGTAGATGTAGGTAGGTCGTTGTCTTCACGTCGTCGCCGTCGACTGTGGCGGCAGCATGCGTTTTAGTCGTCTGGTACAATCCCCACACCGTGATTGCGTTTCATATCATTAACAGGCATCGCCTTAGTTAGGCTAAATGACTGTAGTGTACCTCATCAAAACCTAACTAAAACTACAGGCAACGACGGTGAAATCCGCCATACCTTAGAAGCAGGGCAGGATTCAGACTTCGTTCCACCTAGCAATTTTGGCCAAACAGTATACCAAAATAAGGGTGTTTCTGTACATACAAAAAATGATTTGTTGATATTAGTCGTTTGTACGTTTTAGGATCGCTACATTTGTGAATGAAGTTTACTGTTATTGATTGTTAATAAACAACTTGCAGCCAGTCAAATCACATTCCTGTTACAAAGGAAAGGTCAACCACTTTAACAGCGGTAGCTTACTTAAGTAATCTCCATTACATACATAGTTCTTCCAAGATTCTTGATGTGATGTTGCAAATGTTTTTGCTGTTGTTGATGATGTTGTTCGAAGATTGAAAGTACACGAAGACTATTCGAGATGGAGTTAATGCGGCTGGGAATGTAAATGCCTTATTGGTTAATGAAGACAAATGAAGTTAGTCGCAGTTGTTTAGCACTATGAGATACCAGATGGAGACGTTTGATAGTATCAATAACAGCTAGTTAGTGTGCAGTAGAGATTACAAGCATCAGAGTTCACTAGTAATGTTTCAATTTTTAATGTTATTCTATACTGAATGGCTTTTGGTACAAAAAATACGTTTACTACGAAGTCTGTCAACCAGCGTTGGGACAATAGCATTGAAAAATTGATTGATATCTGCTTTGGCGTCACAATTAGTATTCTATCAATATGTATTGCATTGGTCAAAATAGTAGACTTGGTTAGATTATGGGGAATGTAATTCGTACTTAAATGAATAAGTACTGGACAGAAAATGTATCACCAACATAATAGCAACAACAATTAAAGTATTGAAATACAGTACTGGCGTAGCAATATATTGATTTCAATAGTTGATTGCACAACACTGCTGGCATCATCACCGAGCAAGTTCCGTAGGTGTGTTCCGTATTATAAAAAAAATGATATCTATCGGCGCTGTCTTGTACAGATTTGATTTATGAACCGCATAGGTATGCAGGCTGTCCTCGGAAGGCCCACTATTGAAAAAGATCTGGGGGTTGAAGAATCCTCTCAGCGAAACAAGTCCGCTCGCTGAAGAGCTCGCCGAATGGGCCCGCCCACACATATACCAAGTGCCCCTGCATAGCGGGCACTCCGCTCGGATTTGGTTCGGCTACGCTCCCCACACCCGCTCATTACCGCCTCTAGTTTAAAGCATCTTTCTGTGCGTAGTGTGTGGCTTGGAAATTGTTTCGACAAGATGCATGCACTTATACATAGTGTCTTGTACATTCAGTCGTTCAAACGTTGAATTACCGTACAATACAAACTGCTGGGATGATGGGTGATGATGCCAAGGATCGACTAGGAATTCGCTGCATGTAGGCACATGAGCTGTATCGACTGGGGACACCTCCCGTTGTTGATCTGTAATGGTATCTTCAATTCGTTACTTACTTAGAGCAAAAATGCTTTTCCAAATTACAGCATTTGTTGTCTTACATAATCATGGGATGAGACATTGATATGCAGTCGGGTAGTCAACGCCTTAAAAGATTCAGTTAGGTTTGGTAATGTTTTGAATGCTGACTCCATTAGAGTAGAGACGTATTGTGGGTGCAATATATTGATCATTTTACCATTCATATGCTTCACGATTGTCGCAAGTACTTACGTAAAGACAAGAGAGTTTACGGTGAGCATAATTCAGGAGAGTCCTCGTACGCAAACATGTCCACACCGTCAAACCTTCAATTTAGTGTCGTCAAGACGCAGCACCAAGTCATTTCCATGTAGGAAATCCAGAACACTAACCACCTCCGACCTCGAATCATTTTTCAATTCGTCGGCTTCTGGCAACACCCAAACGACATTTTCAAAGATTCATCATGCAACTTTATCGCGTGTTCCTGATGACCGTGATCAGCCTACTTGGATATTCCTCGGCAACATCGAGCGGAATTTTCGACCACCCTCTGAATGGATGGTATCCTTGTCATAAGTTTACGTTTTCGGAGTCAGGGGGCTCTAGTAGTCAAGGTGGAGATGCGGAGTGTGCTATCTACACTGCCCCACTGTGCTACCCTGGGATCTGTGAGATATCCGAGTTTGCAGAGCCTACCGTTGACATTTTCGTGAAGCGGATTCCAGCGACAGCAGCTGATACCAAGACAGCCCACAATGTTTGGCTGGTCCAAGGTGGTCCTGGTTATTCCTCCACTTCGTGTAAGTACCATGCTACGGGCATTGTATTAGTTTACGTTGCAAAATAATTAACGGTGCTATTGATATTCTTTGCAGTGGAATCCAGCATGATGGAGCTCCACGCCAAATTAGCCGGGGCAGTCAACGTGTACACGATGGACCACCGCGGCACTGGACGCAGTACGCTGTTTGACTGTGTTGCAGCTCAAACCACGATGACGGGCTCTACGTTGGGTCGTGAGATTGATCCATCCGAAGTTCCTGCATGCGCGAAAGATCTGCGGATGAAATATGGTGACCTCGCGTCGTTCTCAACGACTAGCGCTGCTACAGATATATCGGCATTCATCTCCAAGTTTTCGAATGGTGCGAGTTCTATCGTCTATGGCGTGAGCTACGGAACGGTCGTGGTGGAACGTCTTATGCACTTGAGCCCACCAACCGTTAATGGATACGTCCTGGACGGCATTGCAACCACTTCAGGGGCGTCGGGTAACAAGTTCCAGTACTATTCAATGTGGGATGCAGACTTTGGCAAAGTGGGTGACTATTTTATGGAGCTGTGTGCGCAAGACATCACGTGCAGTTCCCATTTCCAGTCCGCAAACCTGTCTGTCGCGCTCCAAGATCTGATGACAAGACTTGATAACAACCCCAACTCAACTTGTGCTACTTTACTGAGCAATTCGACTGATACTTTGCCATCGCATGCACTTCGACAGAGGCTAGCCGTACTGTTGAAGGATACAACAGCGCGAACGATCATTCCGCCAATTGTATACAGACTGAGTCGGTGCGACACCAACGATGTGGACGCCATGACCCACTTTTTCGCGGGTATAGATTCTTTTTTTTCCAGTACAAGTCAAGACGACCCCTTCCAATCGACTCTGCTCTACTATCTGATAATCTTCTCTGACATGTGGGAGACGCCAACCCCTTCCACCTCCGAGATGGAGTCGCGCTTTACGAATGCGAGTATTACCGATGGAATGTATTCACTAAATTCATTGTATTGCGCTTTCTCGAAAGAGAAGTCTCCGGCATGTAAAGAGCTAAATCTCGCCAACTATGAAGGTGAAGGAATCATTTATCAGCGCGACCAGTACTGGAACAAGAGGGCTATCGTATCCACCCAGGCAAGTGTGCTGCTCTTGAGTGGGAAACTGGATCCACAGACACCCCATAAGTATGCGGAATATCTGTTTGATGCGCTTGACTGTCAAAAGAAGGAGCTCATCACGTTCGACTACGCGGCCCACGTCGCTACAGTGTCCACCCCGTTTGGTGCTGATATCAACGGTACCAGCCTGAACTGCGGCATGGAACTATTAGTATCGTACGTCAAGAATAACGGTGATCTGCAGCGTATGGACCGGTCGTGCATCGATGAAATGCCTCCGTTTAATCTGACGGTTCCGATTGAGTATGTTCAAGGTTTCTTCAGCACTGACGAAGTGTACGACGGTGTCTACAACGCTAGCTTCAGTCAAACAGAAGAATCCGCTTAAACAAGTCCAGGAAGCTATGATCGGTGTACGAAGGAATACAACCGTGTCAAGCTTGTCTAAAAAAACTACCAAAAGAGTTACTACCATAAAAATTACACGTTGTTACATTGAATACACTCTGTTTCCATTCGGAAAGCAGTACCTTCAGAGCTTTATCAAATGCATGGGAGGGACGACCCGAGCCGGAGCCCGTGCTCGCGATTTGGAAAGGACCCGAAGTGTTAGAGTGGATGGCTCCTCTAAAATACTGGGTCCCTTTAAACGGTAGGACCGGCTCCAAATAATGCTAGTTGGCTTAACTGCCCGAAAGCATAACTAATCCAACTAATCCAGATAAAGCTTGTTGATTGGCTACTAGAAATTATTCCCCGCTCTGTTCTCGGATTCAGTTTGGGCCTGCTCATAATGAACACCCCTCAACGACATTCCGAATATCAACGTTCCCGACAGCACCTCCGCAGATAACGACTATCTTGATGTTGTCTCGCTCATCTCCCAACCAAGAAGAACAGACTTTTGTTTATAAAATGTACCGTACGAGAAATACCCAGAAGTTTCGTAATTTTCGCTCTGTATGCAAAAATATATAGCGCGCATTTCCATCCGCGGATATTATAGCGTCAGCCATTCTGAGATGGTTCGCAGCCTTGGGGATCTTTCCGTCAAACACAATTTCTTGGGGATGTTTGCAGCCGGTTTGACATTCAAAACAGAACCGCTTTACGCCTCCTCGTGGCTGCCTGCACTACCTACACGCCAGCGATAGGAAAATAGTAATACATTTCGGAAAGAATTAGTTGTTAGCAAAATTATTTCAACAAATATTATTGCAATAATACTTTTCTGAATTTTATTTCAGAGTCTAACGGAGATCAGACTAATCGTACATCAATTCTTTTGCTCTTTCTCAGTGAATGATTTTGTAAAATTGATATCATTACAGACATTTGAAAAGCATACTTCTCCGTAAATTAAATGGTAGGCAATCGTTTACATTGCTGTACAAGTACTGTGAGTCTTTGATAGCATGTTGTTACCAAATACATCTAATCATTTATAAATGTATTGCTTTTGAATCACCCATGTGAATGTTGACCCTGTCGGTGACGGTCTCATGTTCCTGCAATAGGCAACTGCACGTAATTCTCTGGATTCTATATCCAGAGTCCTGGAATTGTAATGACGTAGTAATCCTTTGATTACTAATATCTATTTCAACTCGATATAGACACCAACCCGCTCTCTAATTTATTTGGTTTGTTATATAAAACAATATATTCGATATTTACATTATCCGTGAGCGTTGACCCATCCAGAGAAGATTACAACTAAGTACCTGTTAGAATTACTCGCAACGCTCGTGTAACACTCGTAGTTTATCCGATATTTGAAGTGCCCGTTGGGGTTGACAGCAGAGGCTGCAAACGGTTACCCGTACCCGTGAACAAACCGTTTAACCGCACCCACGTGTGGCCGCGGGCAACCGAAGGCAGAAGTAGTTGCGCGTCGGGCAGTTACGGGCAACCTAATTTCGACAGCGGTCGGTTGCGAATTTCCGAGCTATTAGACAAACTATTTTTTTCTTTGCTATCACTCTAACTTCATTTCCACCACTCTAGCATCTGCAGCTCAAGACATGGACGCTTTCGTATTCCGGACCGGTCGTGATGACGAGAGCGCAGCCACTACCAACCGTGACGACCTTTCAAGCTACAGAGTAAAACAACTACAAAAAATTAGAGCCAAAAAAGATTTGTCATCGATCAAGACTGAGATCAAGCGTGAGTTAATGCAAAATGAGTCCAAGCCGGACAAAATCGTGCTTTCACTTCTCTCTGAGACGTCAACTGGCACATCAAAGTGCTGGGATTATTTCTCTCATGTCGTGGAGAAGTCAACAGGTGTGCACTTTTCCGTTGGAAAATCTACTTTTGTTGCATGCAGAGCGTGTTATCAGATATTCACTTTCTCTAGAGGAAATGGTACGTCTACGTTGAATAATCACACCAAATCATGCTCCATTCGTGAAGCAAACGCTCAAGCGGGTTCAATGAGTTCTTTTGTGACACCAATGGCTGCTTCAACGAAGGACAAGCAGAAGGTTTCCCAGGCCATTGCCAAGATGTGCTGTCATGACCTGCGGCCATTTTCACTTTGCGAAGGACGAGGTTTCCGGTATCTTGCTAGTGTTCTGATTGATATTGGTGTACAGATGAAGGCCCCAGTTGGTCTTGATCATTTGTTGCCTGTTGGAACACAATACAAAAGTATGTGATCGATACAGCTTCTTAACCCGAGAACAAGTAGCACGTATGCTGACATCACACTTCAAGAACAACATTGGTGCGGGTTTTACTACTGATCTGTGGACTGATACGACAAGGAAGATGTCTTTTCTCTCGGTAACGGTTCATTTTATTGATGAATACATTCGTCTACATTCTCGTGTGTTACAAGTCAAGCCATTTGATGTAGAGTCTCACACTGCAATTTCCGTTTTGGAAGCATTCACCGAGTGCTTGAGGCGCTTCTGCATTGGTGATGATGATCTATGCACCGTCGTCAGCGATAGTGGGTCCAATATGTGCTGTGACGACGGATTACCATCAAGGTATGCGTGGTTAGCATGCTTGGACCACAAGATAGCAACTATGATAACAACCGTGCTAAGCAAGACCACAAAACGAGTGTCTGGAGTGCAGTTGCGGAACTTCTATAAGTACCGTGACAATGCCCCAAAAGTATTTTACCTGATCGATGCATGCAAAGAGCTCGTGGTTTATGTAAAGCGGTCAAATATGCAGAAAGAACTACCAAAGACACTCAAACAGGAGAATACTACGCGGTGGAATTCACTTCTACTTATGCTGGCCAGTGTGCTGGATAACTATGACGGTTTGGGACCAATGCTAACAGCGCGAGACAGATTCTCCTATCTGAAACGCATCGATCGAGCTCTTTTAGAATAGCTGGTGCTGTTTTTACAGCCTTTCCAGACTGCTACACGCTCCTTAGAGTGCTGGAAAAACCAACTTTGCATCTCCTTGTGTATGCTAAACACAAACTACAACGCCATCTGCCTGTACACGCGCCTCAGCGTGGTGATCGACTGCGTGGAGATACGGATGAGGCTGTTAAATACGATTCACCATCTCTTACCGCATTGAAGCAGCTAATTTCCGATCATGGGATGCCCAATTGGAGCTTGGACACTGTACATGATGTGGCTGCACTGCTCGACCCTCGTAGAAAGCACAAACTACACAAATATGAAGTAGATGAACACAAACTCACTATGGCGAGAAGGACTATCTTATTAAAGATGCGGAAGATTATGGATAAACTGCCAAAACCTCACGATCAGCATGTGTCTGAACCACAACAAAAGAAGCTGAAGCCCAATCATGAATTCTCACTTAACGACATTTCTGATGATTCAGATGATGACGACGAAAGTAAGTGCGACTATCAGCGTGAGTCACCTGAATACATGGAGATAACCTGCTATTATGGTCATACAGAGCTACTGGATTTTGATCTACTTAAATGGTGGCACAAAGTGATTTACACTTCTTCCGATGGTGATTTAGCACCCTTTCCAGTACTCGGGCTTGTTGTGCGTTCGGTTCTGTGTATTCCAGCGTCAAGCGCTATGTCTGAAAGCAACTTTTCTGACGCCGGGAATGCATTTGGAAAGAAGAGGACAACTTTAAACCCGTACGTCCTCGACGATATCCTGGTTGCGCGATCCAGTATCGATACTCTGTGACTAGATTGCGGCCAACCGAAGTTTCCGGCGGGTGGGTATGGGCATCCTCTGTTTCGAATCGGTTGGACACGGACATCCTCTTCGTGTGTCTAATACTTACGGGTGGGTACGGCCGCCCGACCTGTAATATTTGCAACCTCCGGTTGACAACCATCCATAAATAGCCAAAGCAAACAAAATGACGGAGAACCAGGTTTACCTTTGAGTAGATTCTGGCACAATCTTCTTGGAGTAGCATTGACACCCAACAATGATAGCATCATTATCGGCACACTCTACCCTTGCTTGCAAGTACAGACAGAAGTTAAAATTCTTCAGGTGTTGTGCCTTTGGACGAGTCGACCGTCGGTGTCTGCGTGACACTACATTTGCTACGCATAACGCAAAATCGGACTTCCGTGGTGAGGGCAGGATGTGTGAGCAGTTCCGGCGACAAAATGAGGGTGATGAGCAAGGCGCGAGCTGTTGTGAGACATGGGGAGGTGACGGCTCGCGCAAAATGATGGTGAGCAAAGGCGCACATTGTGCCGGTGGCTCCGAGGTCGTGGCAGGCGGCAAACATGATGGTTTTGAGTGCTCGTAGTAGGGGAAAAAGCTGAAGTGAGATTAGATTTATCTCCTTAAACTGCTTACAAATATTCCTATCCTCTCCTGTGCTCCCTGCGCTCCCTATGTTCCTCTCATCAACTTGATTACCTCAAACGCCTCGTTAACTTGCCTTCACTATGCTCGTCCACTCACAATCCTCTCCGCTTCCTACGGCCGTCGGATCTGCTTCACCATCGGCTGATGAGTCCTTTCTGGTAGCCTCCGAGCCTTCGCCATCATCCGTTGAGTCCTCGTGGTGGGCTCATCATTGCTATATCCGTCCACATGGACAAACTGCGAGCACTCGTCGCGCACCATATCAACACTCCCACTCGCTACTAGTGCGTAGCAGCTTTGGTGAGTACTCCACCAGCGCTCAACAGATATTTGAGCCGCTTGGTTCCCAACACCTTGGTCAGCATGTCTGAGACCTGGTCTTCAGTCGCCACGTACTTGGCTTGAATGACGCCACGCGCCACGTTCTCTCGGATGAAATGATGCTTGCTTGGTTCGCGCGTTGTAGCCGGCATTGCTAGTTAGAGCTATCGCTCCTTGATTGTCCTTCCAAACCTCGGTGGGTCCCACTTGCTCGTGACCAAGATCCTTCAGCATGGCTCGATCCCACAGCACCTCTTGTGTGCATAGCCCAAGAGCCATGTATTCTGCTTCCGCCGAGCTGAACGCCACCGTGCGCTGGTACTTCCACTTGAATATCACTGGAGCTCCGATGATCATCACCATATCGATCGACGGTCATCGA